AGCTCACAGCAACCTCCAACTCCTGGACTTAGGCGATTCTCTTGCCTCAGACTCCTGAATAGCTGGGACTACAGGTACCTGCCACAATGCCCAGCAATTTTTTGTTGCAGTTTTGCTGGCACCAGGTTCGAACCCACCACCCTCGGTGTATGGGGCCAATGCCCTACTCACTGAGCCATAGGCACCACCCAAATTATTAGTATTTTTATATTCTTCTTTATTCTTTTCTGTATTCCCCAAGGCTTCTACAATAACTACTACTTTTTAGTAAGAAAAAAAGCTTTTTACATAAAATGTATCCTTTTGGTCTAGGCATGTCCCCTTAAGCTTCTGTTATAATGCAGTCATTGGCTTTGAGAGGGAACTAAATTGTAGCCTCTCAGTCCTGTGAGACCTTCTGTGATTATCTGGTTCAACATGTGACATGTTAACATGTAGGGAGACTGAGGCCCAGGGGTGCAAATGAGCCCAAGGTCATAAGGGAACCAGAGGTCCCAGACCCCCAGTCTTGTCCTTAGGCACCTGCCCAAAGGACCACAGTCCCCAGGCCAGGCTGCCAGAAGGGAAGAAAGGGGAGGGGAATCACAGCCAGAGTTTCCCCTGTGTGGCTGACACTCATTTGATGCCAACGCAAGAGGGGCCTTGAATGCAGAGTTGCTCACAGACCCACCCAGTAGTAGCTCAGCCTGGGAGTGAGAGGTGAGAGGGAACAAAGGGCAGGTGGGTGGGCATGGACCTAGCTGGGTGTGCCCAGGCCTCTCCCTCTCATCTCTAAACTTCGCCTATCAGCGCTTCCTCCTTAGCAGGGCTGCAGACTCACTCACTGCCCCAGGCTGGGACAGGACAGGAGAATGAAAGGCCTCCGCTGGCGTTACACTCCACTGGTAAGGGGTCTGGCTTAAGCGGTGGTGGGAAGCAGGGAAGGGTCAGACCTCTGACAGGGTGGGACCTGGGCTAGGGTTAGATGCAGGCAGGTGACTTGTCCCTCTCTCAATTTGCCTCCCTAGATGCCCAGGGGTTTAAGGACTGACTTAAGCCTTAGCCCCAAGCCCCATGGCCCTGAGACCTTCAAGTGGGACAGACCATTGTCTATGTCCCTTCTTCCTGGGACTGGGTGCCAGATGGAGTTCTATCCAGAGCCCACAGAGCTAGGCCCCTCCTTAGGCCTGAGTCTGGGGAACAAAGGAGGACAAGAGAGTAATCCTGTTTATCTCTCAGCCTCTAAGAGGTCTCTCCTTCCTAGAAAAAGCCCTGAAGCCATTGTGTACATGTACACACACACATACTCTCACTTAAACATAAATGTGCTCTGGTACCAAGTGGAAGCTCAGTTGAATGAATGAATATACCAATACACATGCCCACTGATATGGGCACATGTATTACACAATCCTAATGCACACCTTGACTTATAAACACAGAAATTAACACTTAATACCTTCTCATGGGGCGGCGCCTGTGGCTCAGTGGATAGACGCTGGCCCCATATCCTGGGGGTAGCGGGTTTGAACCCAGCCCCAGCCAAACTGCAACAAAAAATAGCTGAGTGTTGTGGTGGACACACTGTAGTCCCAGATATTCAGGAGGCTGAGGCAAGAGAATTGCCTAAGCCCAGGAGTTGGAGGTTACTGTGAGCTGTGATGCCATAGCACCCTACCAAGGGTGATAAAGTGAGACTCTGTCTCTAAAAAAAACAGGAATTAGATAAAAAACAAAAACAGAAACAAAAAAACCCTTCTCATGCCAATTTGCCTACACAATTCTATTTTAAGCAAATCACAGTTCACACAGACTGACACACATTTACACGAACCTAAGCATACTAACTCATGTGTGACTACAGGCATCATTTTGCTGGCTGACAGGCGAGCCTCTGGGCTTCATTTTCTTCCTTTGTAAAATGATGATGATATGAAGCACATTCTTCTTAGAATTCTTGGGAAAATTAAAAGAGATCTTGCATGGCATGGCCAATACTATATTCCGGCCTGGCCAAGTGTATGCTGCAACAATGTCAGCCCTTATCATTGTCAATATTGTTGTTGTTATTTCATGCACAAAGACACATAGTTGCAGCTCCCTGGGCTGGGCTGCCACCTGCCCTTCTCCTCTGCTCTCAAGCTTAGAACTTGATCCCTGGCACCCACCCTAGATCCAGAGCAAACAGGTAGATCAATGGTAGGGCCCACGGCCATATCTGAGCAGCATAGTGTACCAGGGTGTGTGTGCTCTGGTTCTTCACTGGCAGGGGCCAGGGAGGAAGCAGGTGGAGATAGGGCAGAATCCTGTCTGCTGTGTAAACTTCCCAGCTACCGTGGGCTGGGCTGGGGGTTGTAGTGGCCTGGCCAGGGGATGAGGAGGCAGCTGTAGTTCTCAGGCTTAGGAGATAGAAACTGGAGCCACCCATCCCTCAACTCACCAAGCCTCTTTATGTCTTCACAGCCCAGCCAAGTGGAGGATGCTCTGTCTGAGGAGCAGGGTGAGGAAGAGGAAGAGGAGAAAGAGGAGGAGGCAGCCCCAGCCCCTATTGCTGAAGATCTCACAGAGCCCCAGCTGACAGAAGCCAGCCAGGTTCTGGGAGCCTCAGAGATTAGGCAGGTTCGGGCATTGCCTGTGGCTCAAGGCGTTCAGCCCTGAGCCTAAGTGTCCCCCCTCCTGCTCTACATCAGCCATGCCCAGGAGTTCCCGGGGTCACTCCTGCTCTGCCTCCAGCTTACTGCATCACCTCGGGCAAACCATTTCTTCTCTTTGAACTTTCTGTCCCTTTCCTGTAAAAAGATCCAGTGTTTCTAGCACCACCCTCTTCACTGGGCCAGGAGGTTAAGGACATAATGAAAGAAGCCAATTCTTATATAGAACAAGCCCTCAGAAGCTGGAGCTAAAGCTGGCACAGGTGGGAGGATGAGATGGGGGTGGGGAGGAAGGGCTCTCTTCTGTTCTCTGGCCTCTGGGGACCAGGGTCATCAAGGGGAGAGGGTCTTGAGAGAAACCTGACCTGGGTTCAAACATTGTCCCTGTCCCTTACTCCCCTTGTGGGCTTGGGGTAAGTTGCTTCACCTCCCTGACCCTCAGATTCCTTATCTGTAAAATGGGAATAATCACCTCTATCTCCGTAGTGCTATTGCTAATGGTATGGAAGTCCCTGGAAACAGCAAACTACTCTATAATCTGTCAAGTACCATCTTTGGCTGAATGGTGGTTGTTCAAGCCTCTGGGTCCCTGAGGATGGGGGTGAGTAGTGGAGGAGTCTCTTACTCACCTGCAATCCTGTCACCAGCTCAGCTTCCACCTCCCTTCAAGAGTCACTGGACATCCTTGGAATCTGGTCTTTGTACATCGAGGGATGGCTTTAGTCTGCGGAGCCTGTACCGGCAGATGGAGGGCCATAGCGGGCCAGTGCTGCTGGTGCTGAGGGATCAGGATGGGCAGGTGAGCTACCCGTCCTGTTGAGAGTCTGGGGGGTCCCAAACAGACATCAGTGGGCCCTGCTCCAGGGCAACCTCAGGGAGAAGGCAGAGGTGACAGACTAAGTCACCTGTAATGGACACTGATTTGATGGCATTAAGGCTTTCCTCTTCAGACCCATTCCTTCATTTATTCACTTAACACATGTATATGAAGCACCTTCTATGTGCCAGGTTAGATGTGGAACAGAGTAGGATAGCAAAGAAATAGTTCCAGCCCTCTTTGAGCTAATGGTCTATTGAGGAAGGGGTCAGACATTAAGTAAATAATCAGTTGACTGTAAATGTAAAACCACATCTTTATCCTCAGAAGCACAAGAAACTACAGGGACATCATAACCAGGTAACCTACACCTCACTGATCAGTGTATGGATTTTTGTTTTTTGCTTTTTTTTTTTTTTGAGACAGAGCCTCAAGCTGTCCCGCTGGGTAGAGTGCCGTGGCATTACAGCTCACAGCAACCTCCAACTCCTGGGTTCAAGCAAGTCTCCTGCCTCCGCCTCCCAAGTAGCTGGGACCACAGGCACCCACCACAACGCCCGGTTATTTTTTGGTTGCAGCCCTCATTGTTGTTTGGCGGGTCCGGGCTGGGGATTCGAACCCACCACCTTAGGTGTACGTGGCGGGCGCCTTAGCTGGTTGAGCTATAGGCGCCGAGCTGCAGCTGTCATTGTTGTTTGGCGGGTCTGGGCTGGATTCGAACCCACTACCTTAGGTGTATGTGGCTGGCGCCTTAGCAGGTTGAGCTACAGGCGCCGAGCTATTTTTTGCTTTATAAATATATTTTACTATGTACATTCCTTTTTTTTTGTTTGTTTGTTTTGCAGTTTTTGGCCGAGGCTGAGTTTGAACCCACCACCTCTGGCATATGGGGCTGGTACCCTACTCCTTTGAGCCACAGGCGCTGCCCACTATGTACATTCTTTTTCTTTTTTGAGACAGAGTTGCATTCTGTTTCCCAGGCTAGAGAGTCAAGGCATTAGCCTAGCTCACAGCAACCTCAAACACAAGAGCTCAAGTGATCCTCCTACCTCAGCCTCCTAAGTAGCTGGGATTATAGATGCCCACCAATGCTACCAATGCCCAGCTAATTTTTCTATTTTTAGTAGAGACAGGAGGCTTGGTACCTATAGCTCAGCGGCTAAGGTGCCAGCCGCATACACCGGAGATGGCGGATTCAAATGTGGCCTGGGCCTGCCAAACAACGACAACTGCAACAACAACAAAAATAAATAGCTGGGCATTGTGGCAGGTGCCTGTACTCCCAGCTACCTGGGAGGCTGAGTCAAGAGTAGAGACAGAGTCTCACTATGTGTCCCTCGGTAGAGTGCTGTCACAGCTCACAGCAACCTTACACTCTTGGGCTTAAGCAATTCTCTTGCCTCAGCCTCCTAAGTAGCTGGGACTACAGGTGCCCGCCACAATGCCCAGCTGTTTTTTGGTTGTAGTTGTCATTGTCATTTGGCAGGCCTGGGCTGGATTCAAACCCACCAGCCCTGGTGTATGTGGCTGGTGCCCTAGCTGCTTGAGCCACAGGCGCCGAGCCATCTGCTCTTGTTAATAGTGGAATTTCAAGCAGACTGTCCATGCAGAAGGGAAGTGGGATTGGAAGCTGGTTTCAAATTCTCCTCTTAGAGGCCAGGCACAGTAGCTCATGTCTGTAATCCTAGTACTTTGTCTGGGAGGCTGAGGTAGATAGATTGCATGAGCTCAAGAGTTTGAGAGTAGCCTGAGCCAGAAGGAGATCCCATCTCTAAATATAGCCTGGTGCTGTGGCATCTGTAGTCCCAGCTTCTTGGGAGGCTAAGGTAAGAGAATCACTTGAACCCAAGAATTTGAGGTTGCTGTGAGCTATGATGCCACTGCACTCTACCAAGGTTGACAAAGCGAGACTCTGTCTCAAAAACAAAAAGCTCTTTTTAGGAATGTATTAGAGCTGGGAGAGAGCTCAGGAATCTCAGAAGACTGCTACTTGGGTAGGAGCTCTTTCATTTAAATGCTGATGGAAGAAGATCCCACATTAAGGCCAGGGAGCTCATGCCTTCTACATGGAGCCCCTTCCCTAGAAGACTACTATTGACTATGAGGAAATTTCTCCTAATACTAAGCCAAAAACCTACTACTCGTAGCTGCCCCCAGGGATCCTGCCTCTGCCACTTGGGATGGAGTGAAAAGTCACAGTCCCCTTAAGTATCTCAGAAGAGTAAAATGGCTAAGGTGATTATGGCCCTTAGTGAAAGGGTCATAATAGTGAAAATTGGGCAGGAGAGGAACATGATATAGAACCAGAGCTATAAAAGTGTTAAGTTTTTCTCTTTAAAGAAGGATATGAACGGCATTCCTGGGGCAATTGGAGAAGACAGAATTTGAACTGGCTACTAGATAATACTATGGGATTGCTATTTTTTTTTTCTTTTTTTTGGAGACAGAGCCTCAAGCTATCCCCCTGGGTAGAGTGCCGTGGCTTCACAACTCACAGCAACCTCTAACTCCTGGGCTCAAGCGAGTCTCCTGCCCCAGCCTCCCAAGTAGCTGGGACCACAGGCGCCTGCCACAACGCCCAGCTGTTTTTTGGTTGCAGCCATCGTTGTTGTTTGGCAGGTCCGGGCTGGATTCAAACCCGCCACCTTAGGTGTATGTGGCTGGCGCCTTAGCCACTTGAGCCACAGGTGCCGAGACTATGGGATTGCTATTAATTTTCTTAGACGTGTTCATGGTATTGTGATTATATAAAAAAATCCTCATTCCTGTGATCTGAGCTACTTAGTGGTGGAGGGTCATAGTATCTGCATCTTACTTTTTTTTTTTTTTTTTTTTTTTTTTTTGGAGACAGAGCCTCAAGCTTTCCCCCTGGGTAGAGTGCCGTGGCATTACAGCTCACAGCAACCTCAAACTCCTGGGCTCAAGCGAGTCTCTTGCCTCCGCCTCCCAAGTAGCTGGGACCACAGGCGCCCGCCACAACGCCCGGCTATTTTTTTTTGGTTGCAGCCATCATTGTTGTTTGGCGGGTCCGGGCTGGGGATTCGAACCCGCCACCTTAGGTGTATGTGGCTGGCGCCTTAGCCGGTTGAGCTATAGGCGCCGAGCCTGCATCTTACTTTCAAATGGGAAAACATATATATATAGAGAGAGAGAAAGCAAATACAGCAAAGATATTGATAACTGCTGAATCTGGGTGGAAGGTACTTGCACTGTACTTTTAACCTTTTTGTACATTTAGAATTAGCAGATGCATTATATAGGACCTCATCTAATACGCTGGTATTAGACTGATGCTGCAGGAAATGCACACAAATGTTAAGAGTAATTATCTTAGAAAAGAAGAAAGGGGATTTGGGGGTGGCTTTATCTTTTTCTTTCGGTTTGTCTATAAATTCTAATTCTTCCAGATGGATGTTGTGTAAAATAAGCACATTTAAGGAAAAATTGGAGGGTCCTGACCACACAGAGGAGGAAGCCAATGAGAGCTCCTCCTTGGGGAGGGGGCACAAAGGTTCCTGCCAAGGTACACGGAGGGCCCCTTCCCCCAGCTCTCCCTAGCTTCCCTTCTAGGACGAGCCTACATTACTGAGCCTGGAGAATGGGGGTGCCAGAGGACTCCCAACTCCCTTTCACCTGCAAACCACGAGTTCTGCTTTCCAGACGTTTGGAGCCTTCTCCTCCTCAGCTATCCGGCTCAGCAAAGGCTTCTATGGTACTGGCGAGACATTCCTCTTCTCCTTCTCCCCACAGCTGAAGGTGATGTTCCCAGCCTCCCGGGGGGGAGAGGGGTCTATGGCAGGACATAGCTCCTGGGGACCCCAGTGGCCTGCGGCTCCACCTCTATGCTGGGCTGCTTGTTGTTCATGCAGCACGGCAGTGGTGGGCAGAACACCCACCCTGGCCCACCAGTCATCATTTTACAAAATGCTCAGTAGGTCTCTGGCCACCACTGACTCGCTGAGGGGACTGTCTTCCCAGGAATGGGCAGGAAGACTGATGTGTGGGGGTAGGACAAGGAAAGTGGACACATCCAGCGGCTTCTTGTGGAGTACAGGGTGAACTCAGAGCCGAGAGGAGGATGAAGGAGTGGGTACTAAGGTTTGAGGGGAGAGAAGCTATCAAATAGTCCTTGGAGTGTGGGAAGAGAAGCCTACCAGAGAAAACTAGAGCAACAGGAGGACAGCTGGGCTGTGCTGGTTGCCAGTTTGGGGCTGTGGGTTTAACAGCAACCAGTCACTTGCTGTGTGTGTTCCTCCGGGAACATTCAGCTCCTGGGTGCGGGCCTATAGCAAGCGAATGGGAGGTTCTTCCAGGACTGGGGTTTTGCCAAACTCATTTGAGAGACAGAGGGGGAAAAGGAAATTGAAGGGAGTGAAAATACCAAGTGGACAATAGAACCTAGACTGGGTGAGGAGGGAAGGGGAGGCCGAGGGGACTGCAGGGTTTCGAGGCAAAGATGGACTTAGGTCTCCTTGAGGCCACAGACTTTGAGCAGTGACAGCAGATGAACAATGTGCTGGGAGACCAGATATGGGGGGGGGGGGAGCTTTTGAAATAGACTGCAAGAGTTGCCAGCTGTCCTTGGTGAGGACAAGTTCCCAGATGTAACCGTAGGGTACAGTGGCTGAAAACTCACTGGGGGGCTCAGCACCTGTAACTCAGTGGTAGGGCACTGGCCACGTGCACTGGGGTTGGTGGGTTCAAACCCAGCCTGGGCCTGCTAAACAACAATGACAATCACAACAACAACAACAACAACAAAAACAGCTGGGTGTTGTGGCGGGTACCTGTAGTCCTAGCTACTTGAGAAGCTGAGGCAAGAGAATAGCTTAAGCCTAAGCGTTTGAGGTTGCTGTGAGCTGTGACACCATGGCATTCTACCAAGGGCGACGTAGTGAAACTCGGTCTCAAAACCCCCCTCCCCAAAACAAAAAACCCACTGGGAGTATAAAGGAGCTGAGGGGCAGGGGCTGGACAGGCTGATGTGGATGGTAAAGTTCACTAGGCAGCTGGGAAGGGGATGAGTCAGAGCTGAAGTCTCTGAGTAATGATGAGTGGAGATGAAGAGATTGGGAGTGACAGGCACATGATGACTAGTACACTCTGATGGCACAGGCTTCGAAGAGGCTGGGGCTTTTGAAGGAGGAAGGAAAATAATAGTCCTAAACTTCTTCCATCCAAAGACTTTGTGCCTCCAGGTTATTTATTGAATAAAGCTACTGAGCTATATGCTTGGTGGAGGGCACACTACTTTACTTACTACTTTCTTAATGAAAATAATAGCAGCTAACACGTTATCAGCCTGTCAGGTGCTATTCTTGGATTTTCACAATCTGGCACATTTAGTCGTCTCAACAATCCTGTGAGGAACATGCTATTATCATCCCCATCTTACAGATGAGGAAACCAAGGCAAAGAGAAGTTGAGTAATGTGCCCAAGCTCACACAGCTAGCCAGTGATGAGGAGGAAACAGCCCCCAAACTCCACTGCCTCTGTAAACCACAGAGAGCCCCTGTCTTGGAATTCTCCCAGGCTGGGGGAGAAGACTGAAAACAATGTATAGTAAGTACTGTCAAAGAAGCAAGGAGGATGAGCACCTGTATCAAATGGGGGTGGGGAAAGCAAGGGAGACTTCCTGGAGGAGGAGCTTGATGAGCTAGATCTTGATAGACAGACAGATCACCAGGCGATGGAGGGTATAGAAGCCTTCTTGGAATGTGCAACAGAACAGAGAATGGAGAGATGTACATTTAGGAATCCAAACCTTGAGCCACAGGCCCTGCCCCCAAATACCGGAAGTAGCAGATTCATACTCCACCCTGGCCAAAAACTGCAAAAAAAAAAAAAAAGGAAAGGAATCTAAGAGATGAGTAGGGGGTTGAGGAAGGGCACCTTGCTCTGTACTGGCATAACACACCCTCAAGAAATTTTGTTCAATGGAGGAAGAACTAGTTCCAAGTGGTGTTTTTTTTTTTTTTTTTTTTGACACGGAGCCTCAAGCTGTCCCCCTGGGTAGAGTGCCATGGCTTCACTGCTCACAGCAACCTCCAACTCCTGGGCTCAGGCGAGTCTCCTGTCTCAGCCTCCCAAGTAGCTGGGACCACAGGCGCCAGCCACAATGCCCGGCTATTTTTTGGTTGCAGCCATTATTGCTGTTTGGCGGCCCGGGCTGGATTCGAACCTGCCACCTTAGGTGTATGTGGCTGACGCCTTAGCCGCTTGAGCTACAGGCGCCGAGCCGGTTTTTTCTTTGTTTTTGAGACAGAGTCTCACTCTGTCACCCTGGGTAGAGTGCTGTGGTGTTATAGTTCACAGCAACCTTAATCCTAGCACTCTGGAAGGCTGAGGTGGCCAGATTGCCTGAGCTCATGAGTCCAAGACCAGCCTGAGCAAGAATAAGATCCCATGTCTACTAAAAATAGAAAAACTAGCTAGGTTTTGTGGCAGGCATCTATAGTCCCAGCTACTTGGGAGACTAGGAAAGTGGATTACTTGAGCCCAAGAGTTTGAGGTTGCTGTGAGCTATAACAGTACAGCACTCTACCCAGGGTGACTTTTTTTTTTTTGAGATTCTCACTCTGTTGTCCAGGATAGACTGTAATAGCCTAAGCCTAGCTCACAGCAACTTCAAACTCCTGCCTCAACCTCTGGAGTAGCTGAGACTATAGGCATCCACCACAATGTCTGGCTAATTTGTCCATTTTTAGTAGACACGGGGTCTTGTTCTTGCTCAGGTTGGTCTTAAACTCCTGAGCTCAAGTGATTCCCCTCCATTCAGTCTCCCAGAGTGCTAGGATTGATGACAGGTGTGAGCCACCATGCCCAGCCAAAATCAGTTAATTCTTGTCTATCTTTGGTCTGTGGCATTTCTTGAGTTCTTCATGAATTCCCAGTGGTTCCTTGATCATGATTCCCAGCAGCACCATGAACTTGGTCTTAATGCTTCTGTAGCAACATTTATCTTACTTCTTCAAGTTTGAAGGTCACATCCTCGAAGAAAGTAGAGGAATAGAATGTTCTGTCTTCTTGTGGTGGTCACTTGTTAATATTATCTCATCTTTTCAGAGCTCAGGACTTATCTGTTATTTAGCCCATATATATATATATTTTTTGTAGAGACAGAGTCTCACTTTGTTGCCCTCGGTAGAGTGCCGTGGTATCACACAGTTCACAGCAACCTCCAACTCCTGGGCTTAGGTAATTCCCTTGCCTCAGCCTCCCGAGTAGCTAGGACTACAGGCAACTGCCATAACACCCAGCTATTTTTTTTGTTGCAGTTTGTCTGGGGCTGTGTTTGAACCCGCCACCCTTGGTATACAGGGCTGGCGCCCTGTCCACTGAGCCATAGGCGCCACCCTAGTCTGTATTTTTGCTAAAGTCTTTGGCTGCTCACAGCATTTCTGGCAACTAATTAAGGTAATAATATGTTATCCTTTTGTGGCCCTTTAAAAATCCTTTTATTGTCCAATTTAACTCTTAAATAATTTACTCATTCATCAAACCTCTATATCAAGTGTCAGGAATACAGCCAGGAATGAAGACAGGCCATGTGGACTTACATATTAGTGGGGCAGCAAATTGACACAGGAATAGAATGGTGGAATACCATCTCAGAGTGGTAAACACTGAGGGAAACAAAACAGGGTCTGGAATGAAGGGCTACTTAGATAGGGTGGTCCAGAAACTTTCTCTGAGATGACATCTGAGCTGAAAGATGAGAAGTGGGCCTTTGGGGGAATCTGGGAGAAGAGCATTCTGGGCAGAGGGATGTGCAAATACAAAGGTCCTAAGGAAGAATGAGCTTTGGATGTCCCAGGGACAGCCAGCCAGTGTAGTTGACATGCAGTCAATAAGGGGAGAAGAGATCAGAGACAAAATCTGGGGTCAAAACAGGTCACACTTTTGGCCATACTGGGGAGTTTTTATCCCCCTTCCAATGGGAAGCCATTGTAGGGCTTTAGGCAGAGGAGTGACAGTATCTGATTTAGATTTTTTTTTTTTTTTTTAGATAAGGTCTTGCTCTGTCATCTGGGCTAGAGTGCAGTGAGGTTGTCACAGCTCACTGCAACCTCAAACTCCCAGGCTCAAGTAGTCCTCCCACCTCTTAGCTGGTATGTCTCACCATCTCTATTGTTCGTAGAGATGGGGTCTCTACTATGTTGTCCAGGCTGGTCTCTAACTTCTGGCCTCAAGCAATCCTCCTGCCGTGGCCTCCCAAAGTGCTAGGGTCATAGGCCTGAGCCACTATACTTATCCTGATTCAAATTTTGAATAAATCAGTCATTTTGCAGTGTGGAGACCAGGGTGGGCAGGAGACAGAAGCAGAAAGACCACTTGGGAGGCTGTGATCCAGGTAAGCACTGAATGTGGCCTGGACTGTGCAGGCAAACAAGCAGTGATGGACTGGGCAGAAGTGCTAGCAGTCAGGGAATAATTCTGGAGCCCCAGGACTTGCTGAGGAGCTGGCTGTGGACAGAGCTAGGTGCCTTCAGGGAGAGATGAGTTAGTTAATGGCAGTATCAGTCCAAGCTCTCCAATTTTGGAAGCAGGAAGCCTCAGAGGTTTGTGTTCTATTTCTAGAATGAAGAGGTTCTAGGCTGTGGGAATTCAAACCAGAGGGCTGAAGGGGTCAACTCCAACTAGTGAAGCCTCAAGAGCCTGGATGCCATTCCCTCCACGACACTGCCACCCAGTGGTGTGAAATCAAACTGCAAGGGCAGACTCACTTGCCCAGTAACCAGAGCCTTTCCCTATTGCCCCAGGTCTTTAAGTGGACAGGAAGCAACACATTCTTTGTGAAAGGAGACTTGGATTCACTGATGATGGGCAGTGGCAGGTGTGTGTCTCCATCTTCCCAAGTGTTGGGGTGGTCTGTGTTCTGGTCCCTGTCCCTCTCTGCTGCACTGCTGGGCTGTCACTGCCCCAGCGGAAACAGGGAGGCTGGTGGTTAATTTTAAGACCCTTCACCTCATTGACCCCTCCCATCAACCCCCTGAACACCAATACACTATTATGGAGAAAGGATGCTAGTTCTGTCTGAATTTATGTAACTTCGAGAACGGCATTCTGCCTGGTTGGCTGAAGCTATAGTCAAGAGGAGCATGCCTCAATTTACCAGTCAGCCCAGTAGTCCTAGGGGACATAACTCCTCAGAGGAGTCTGTGTGGGAGCAAGGGGTAGAAGGAGTTACCAAAAAAAAAAAAAAAGAAAGAAAAGAAAAAAAAGGTCGTTCTCACCCTGGTGTGACCTTCAAATTCAGGCAGAATAAGTCTTATCCTGCGGGCAAAGATGAAAGCAATGCTTGATTAGCACCAGGCAAATTCTTTGCTCTTCCAGCTGCCTGAAAAGCCTCCATTGAGGGTCAGCTTGGCACAGAACACAGTAGCTATGCTGATTTGCAGTAATTCACTTCTTGGCTCCAGCTTAGGTTTTCTGTCAAATGACGGGATTAGAACGGATGCTCTCTTAAGTATGCTGGGCTCTCAAATTCATACTCCTTTGGTTAAGCATTACCATCTTAAAAACATTCCAAATGTTCTAAAACTGGGTTTTGGTAATGGTTGCACACTGTACATTATTTATTAAAATTACTGAGTTGTTTAAAAAACATGCTCTAGGGCGGTGCCTGTGGCTCAAAGGAGTAGGGCACTGGCCCCATAAATCGGAGGTGGCGGTTCAAACCCGGTCCCGGCCAAAAAAAAAAAAACATGCTCTAAACTCTGTGAGGAACAATGTGCTGAATCCCTAACAACTGAGGATAAGTTGGTTTGAGGGGAGATAACATAGGCAAAACTGGGCTGCTGTCATGATGTGGCTAAGAGCTAATGATAGGGATAGACCCTAAGGTTTCAACATGCTGGAGTGAGCCACACCAAGTTTTCCCCTTCTCTTTAGTGGCAAGTTTGGGCTGTGGTTGGATGGAGACTTGTATCATGGAGGAAGCTACCCTTGTGCGACCTTCAACAATGAAGTGCTTGCCCGGCAGGAGCAGTTCTGCATCAAGGAGCTGGAGGCCTGGGTTCTGAGCTGATGTCCCTGTGGCAATAGGTACTCAGCCCTGCTTGTGGATGCCGTCCACGCCTTTCTCACACAGGGCAGCCATGCTGTTTGAAACCTGGATGGTGAAGTTCTCTAGTATTGGCTGTGGCCATTGGCTGCCCTTGAGGCCTAGGGATCCAAGACAGTGATGGGGCAGGCACTCCTCTCTTGCAGAGGTGACTCTGACAGAGTGAAAGACGCTTACACCTTACCTAAGCAGCACAAAGTCTCTCATGAAAATCATCTTTTTAGAAGTAATACAACTTATACATGTCTACTGCAGAAAAACCAGAAGGCATAAACAAGATTTTTTAACTGCCTAAAACTCACCTGCCCCAAACTCCTAATGTTTTCATGTATATATCCTTGACAAAAACTTTTAGAAAAAAGGGATTCTAATCTATATGTGTGGAAAGTCTTTTTTTTTTTTTTTTTTTGAGATAGAGCCTCAAGCTATTGCCCTGGGTAGAGTGCTGTGGTAAAGTGCTCACAGCAACCTCCAACTCCTCGGCTCCAGCGATTCTCTTGCCTCCACCTCCCAAGTAGCTGAAACTATAGGTGCCCACCACAACACCCAGCTATTTTTTGGTTGCAGCCATCATTGTTGTTCAGCGGGCCCAGGCTGAATTTGAAAGCGCCAGCTCAGGTGTATGTGGCTGGCACCTTAGTTGCTTGAGCCACAGGTGCTAAGCCTATAGAAAGTCTTTTAAAGAATATTGCTGGCTCGGCGCCTGTGGCTCAAGCAGCTAAGGTGCAGCCACATACATGTAAGGTGGCGGGTTCAAATCTAGCCTGGGCCCGCCAAACAACAATGATGGCTGCAACCAAAAAATAGCCAGGCACTGTGGCGGGTGCCTGTGGGCCCAGCTACTTGGGAGGCAGAGGCAGAAGACTCGCTTGAGCCCAGGAGTTGGAGGTTGCTATGAGCTGTGATGTCACAGCACTCTACCCAGGGGGACAGCTTGAGGCTCTGTCTCAAAAAAAAAGAAAAGAATACTGTCAAACTTCAGAAATCAGAAACCCAGGTTTAACTAATGAAACTAATGAAGACTCTAGTAGCATCATTCTTTCTCCTGCCGGTTGCCTATTTGAGAACACTGATGGTTTTTTGTCTGCCACTAGTGTGCCAGGTGTTTATCTGTTATTTAACTTTATGAGGAAGAGATGAAACAGCATATGAATGATGCATATTTGGACAAAGAAGTTGAAACCTCTGTAAACAGGAACCTCAGGGAGGTTAAAAGAGAGGAAATGCTACATTTTCTGGCACAACAGGGCAAACTCAAGACAAATCCATATTCCTTCCCATACACTGAGTGAGAAGGAAAAGATTCTTTACTATGCTATTACTTGCCAGCTGAGGGAACTAAATTCCATGAATCTTGTAAATACCACTCTTCTAAAAGACCCAACTAAGAGAAATCTGGGCTGATTCCTATACAAAACACATTTCCTTTGCACAGAAGAGTCAAAACTGGGCACATGATGGTGTGAGGAAAAGCAGTCAAGGATAAACTGTGGTTTCAAGATAGAACCATTCACCAGGCTTTATTGCATGCAGCTCTTTCCCTCATCCAACACAGGTCATTTAACTTGCAGTTCTATTAACATCCTCAAGGTGACAATATTCAGTAAGTCTCTAGAGGCTAAGCTGTTAAAATTTCCATTTTTATACACTGAAGATGTTTCTTAAGAAAAATATAACCTTGCAAATGCCACATGGTTGTCATAATTACAACAGTTGCAAGAACAAAGTGTAGCTGCCTTATATGTAATGAAGAAGCAAACAAAACAGTCCATTGCTTCTCAGCACAATGATACAACATTAGGCCTGTGAAATTCCAGAGTAAACCACAATGTTTTAAAGGTAAGATAACGATCTTAGCAGAAAAATATTACATTCTTGACCTTAGGTCTGGACACACAATGTCTAAGATCTAGTTTTCTCCCCTAAATGTTTTAGAGGCACCTTGGCTAAGTAGGTGCCATGGTCAACCTCACTTGTGCGTCTATGAGCCCACATCTGAACATATCCCCACACATACAGCAATGTGATGGGCATGAAAAGAAGAGTTTTAACAATTCTCCTATGAATTGTAGTCAACCCTGAGGGAAGGATGGGGGGTGATAATACAGGATGGCAGACATTTTAAATACTCTATGGACGGAACAGAACCTGGTTATACAGTGGAAAGTGACAATATTCTTAAAGTTGCTAGGTAATCTGCTGGCCTGAGTTTCCCTTTTCTTCTTCCCCACCTCCTAGACTGCCAGGGAGGCTTCTATCAAGGAAGTATCAGAACATAAGGTGTCAGGGCTCATGGCTTCCATCCCCACTGGCCTGCATCTTCTCTGGCCACCACCAGACTTGGCTCTAACTGCAGACTTTGTTCTTGGTAAATTGCTGCAGAATTATGAATGGGGGTGGTGGTATCCTGGGCACACTCCACTCCTGGGAAAATAAAGTTACATGGGGAAATCTGGAATCCTCTTAGTATTCACTAGTCTCAGCAAAGGCAGAGTGGTCTTTGTTCTGAAACATGTAAAATTGCACTAAACCAACAAAAACAAAGTCCCAGGTCTGAGGAACTCTGACCAGCTCACTAGGGAGACATGGAGAACAGACCAGAGGAGAGGCCTTCTCCAAGCCAGGCAGTGGGAGAGCTGTTGGGACTAGGGCACTGAGAATTAAGGAAAGAAAGAAACTGTCCAGGTCTAGAGTTGCAGCTGACTCAAAGAACAGCCTGGTTTACAAGATCCCTCTGTTACTGGAGGTAGGGATCTCCCAAAAGGTGCTTTGATGTTCTACTCAAGAAGAGGCCAGAGGCTGGGCACAGTCACTCATGCCTGTAACCCCAGCACTTTGGGAGGCCAAGGCAAAAGGATTGCTTGAAGCTAGGAGTTGGAGACAAGCCTCAGTAACACAGTGAGATCTCATCTTTACAAAAAAATTAAATGTTAAACCGGGTGTGGTGGCTCATGCCTGTAATCCCAGCACTTTGGGAGACTAAGGCAGGTGGATTGCTTGAGCTCAGGAGTTCAATACCGGCCTTAGCAAGAGTAAGACTCCATCTCTACTAAAAATAGAAATTAGCCAGGCGTCATGTCAGGCGCCTGTAGTCCCAGCTACTTGGGAGGCTAAGGAAAGATCACTTGAGCCCAGGTGTTTGAGGTTACTGGGAGCTATGACACTATGACACTCTACCCAGGACAATTGAGTAAGACTATCTCAAAAGGAAAAAAATTAGCCAACTGTGATGGTGTGTGCTCATAGCCCCACTTGGGACACTAAAGTAGGAAGATTCCTTGAGTCCAGGAATTTGAGGTTGCAGTGAGCTATGATCACCATATCACTCCAGTCTGAGTGACAAAGATCCTACATCTAAAAATTAAAAAAAAAAAAAAAAAAAAAGGCCTCATTCCCCAAACTCAATCAGACATCTCACTGCCGTACTGGTGTCCCCACTCGAGGGCCTCATGTCCTACTGTTTACCCCACCTGGCAGCTTATGGGGGCTACAGGGGTGAGGAGAGGTATCTTTCACTTATATATGTTTAGGTCACTTGGATAGTTTGACTAATTTTAAACCTGGAGTAATGGGCACCTCCTTAGGCGGTAGGATTTTATGTTTTGTTTTTTAACCATTTCTGTTCATGACAATCCTAACTTCTAATTCCAATTTGTCTCATTTCTTTCTTTCTTTCTTTTTTTTTTTTGAGATAGAGTTTCACTATGTTACCCTTGATAGAGTGCTGTACTGTCACAGCTCACAGCAACCTCAAACTCTTGGACTTAGGGCGGCGCCTGCTGCTCAAAGGAGTAGGGCGCCAGCCCCATAAGCCGGAGGTGGCAGGTTCAAACCCAGCCCTGGCCAAAAAAACTGCAAAAAATAAAAAAATAAAAAAATAACAGATTGCTAAAAAAACTCAAGTGATTCTCTTGCCTCAGCCTCCCATGTAGTTGGGACTACAAGCACCCACCACAGCGGCCAGCTATTTTTTTTTTGGTTGCAGTTGTCATTGTTTGATAGGCCCAGGGTGGATTTGAACCTACCAGCTCTGGTGTATGTGGCTGGTGCCTTAGCTGCTTGAGCTATGGCACTGAGCCACCAATTTGTCTCATTCTAAATTTAAAAAAACAAAAAACAAACCCCCCCCCCAAGCCAAAAACAATCATCTGTCATAAAAATTCAGAGTAAGCCAGATGTAGAGGCTCATGCCTGAAGTCTCAGCTACTCAGGAGGCTGAGGCAGGAGGATTGCTTGAACCCAGAAGTTCCAGTCTCTAATCCAGTCTGGGCAAAAGAGCAAGACCCCATCTCTTAAAAAAAGACAAAAAGTGTTCAGAGTAGATAAAAGAGTTGTTTTTCTAAGAAAATAAACTACTAAGGCTTTAATTATTATTAAAAATAGGCAAGGCAATGTTTTTCATAGCATATAAAGCAAGATTTGCCTGGTATCTTTTTGTTTCTTTGAATAAAAATTACTAAGCTGCAGCATGTGCGTACATTCAAAATACAGAATAAAAAGCACAGTTGTCACTAACTTTGTGGAACTCTATGATTGACGTCCCTAAGCTAATTGCGTTGGGGGAATGCTTTTTGCAGCCAGCAGACTACAGACATTCACACTGAGCCATCCTTAAAAAGCCAGGCTCCGGCTTGCACTGGTTCTGGATGCTTCTCGGGTATGAGCTGGGGCTGTAATTGTGTAATTCCATTCCTCCTTTTGAGGTGTTATAAGTGGAGCTACAATATCACCATCCTAGTGAGAAGAGAGAGAAAAACAGGAAACAGAGAAAAGCCAGTTTTCATCATTTTACTTCTGACTCAAAGTCTCAGGTATACACATTCTTGTCTTGCATATAGAATGCCTCTAGGTATACTCACTCTTGGGAAACTCCAAATTACATATGCCCTGTGCTTGGGTCAAATTGGAAACACCACTGTCTTAAGCAGGTCAGAGCCTTCATCAAAAAAACCACTGGATCTCTTCTTTTCAAAGATGATCAGGAGCAGCACTCTACTGCCTAGTTCAATGACCTCCTCCACACACCTTCATGGAAAACTCTGTCCTATTTTCCCAGAAGAAAGATGGACTGCACTCAACCCTGGCTCCTCTCTGCAATAAATGGCCCAGGTCTATAAGATGGCAAAGAAAAGGGGAAAGAACAATATGTACCTCCAGAACTTGAATTTTTTTCTGCAATCAAAGCTATAACTTTGGCCCCATATGCATATGCTCCAGCCAAATAAGCTTCTCCACACAAAATGAGGGAGAGACTAAAAAAGAGGTCACAATATGATAGTGATTTTTCAACTGTTATGCCGTAAGAGGATATGGTGTGCCAGAAAAAGTTTTAAAGATCATTAATTAAGGCTCAGTGCCTATAGCTCAATGGTTAGGGTGCCAGCTATATACAAGAAGGCAGGTGGGTTTAAACTTGGAGTGGGCCTGCTAAACAACGATGACAACTAAACAACAACAACAACAAATTGCCAGGCACTGTGTTGGCAGGTGTCTGTAGTCCCAGCTACTTGGGAGGCTGAGGCAAGAGAATCGCTTAAGCCCAAGAGTTTGAGGTTGCTGTGAGCTGTGACACCACAGTACTCTACTGAGGGTGACAGTGAGACTCTGTCTCAAAAAAAAAAAAAAAAGAAAGATTAAATTATTTTTGAAAGAAGTTCAAAGCACAGTAAATAAATTTTTTTTTCTTAGATCAACATAATTTAAGTGTGACACAGAAGTTCAACTATAGTTTCAAGTGTGCTGTGAGATAAAAAAGGTTGAAAAACACTGCCGTATGACCTTTGAAAGCAGAGAATGTAAAAGCAAGGCTCTCTAACACGTGACTCTATGCTAAACCACTCTTGAACTTGCAGATAGATTCTCTTTGATAATAGAAAGATATAAGGTCTTTGAGAGCCTTTATTATACTAGGAACGCAATGTTGGTGGTAGGATATTGTACTCTTCATTTGCCTATATCCTCTCAGACCTGTTCTTTTTTTTTTTTTTTTTTGAGACAGAGCCTCAAGCTGCCCCCCTGGGCAGAGTGCCATGGCATTACAGCTCACAGCAACCTCCAACTCCTGGGCTCAAGCGAGTCTCCTGCCTCCGCCTCCCAAGTAGCTGGGACCACAGGCACCCGCCACAACGCCCGGCCATTTTTTGGTTGCAGCCGTCATTGTTGTTTGGTGGGTCCGGGCTGGGGATTCGAACCCGCCACCTTAGGTGTATGTGGCTGGCGCCTTAGCCGGTTGAGCTATAGGCGCCGAGCCCTCAGACCTGTTCTTTACTCTTCTTCTGCTCTGTTCTGTTTCACAGGAGCTGCTCCTATAAACTGCATTTCCCAGCTCCCATTCCTATTGGCTTCCAGTTAGGTTTGGCCAATGGGAGCTGAGAGAAGGACAGAGACCAGGTTATATCCCTCCCTATGCTCTCTGGCGTGGACAGCAGTGGCCACAACTCTTCAATGGTTCTAGCTTCTACAGATGGCCCCAACTCCCAGACTACCATCTATCTCCTCCCCTAGAGGTGGTGGCAGCTTTCTGCCATTGTCTCACTGTCCTCTATGCCAAAACTTTTATATCTCACTCTCCATGTTAAATTTCTTCTGAATTATGCTGGATCTAACTTAAAAGCAGCCATTTGGCTAGGTGGCCATAGCACAGTGGTTATGGTGCCAGCTACATACACCGAAGTTGACAGGTTCAAACCCAGCCCTGGCCAGCTAAAACAACAATGACAACTGTAACAAAAAACAACCAGGCATTGTGGTGGGTGCCTGTAGTCCCAGATACTTGGGAGGCTGAGGCAAGAGAATCACTTAAGCCCAAGAGTTTGAGGTTGCTGTGAGCTGTGATGCCACAGTACTCTACCAAGGGTGACATAGTAGGACTGTCTCAAAAAATAAAAATAAATAAAAGCAGCCATTCAATTGCCATGATACTCAGAAGACCTGTCTATCTCAAAGTCAGCAGTATTTCACTTCAAACTCATCTCTATTTCTACCCATTCTAATTTCAACTTTTGTGGGTTTTTTGGGGGGGGGTGGGAAAACAAGAGTCTCACTCTGTCACTTTGGGTAGAGTTCTGTGGCATCATAGCTTGCAGCAACCTCAACTTCTTCTTTTTTTTTTTTTTGAGACAGAATCTGAATATGCTGCCTGTGGTAGAGTGCTGTGGCGTCACAGCTCACAGCAACCTCAAACTATTGGGCTTAAGCGATTCCCTTACCTCAGCCTCCCAAGTAGCTGGGACTACAGACGCTCGTCACAGCGCCTGGCTTTTTTTTGTTGTAGTTGTCATTGTTGTTTAGCAGGCCCGGGGTGGGTTCAAACCTGCCAGCACCGGTGGGTGTATGTGGCTGGTGCCCTAACCACTGAGCTATGGGTGCCACGTGGAACAACCTCAAACTCTGGGGCTCAAGTGATTCTCTTGCCTCAGCCTCCTGAGTAGGTAGGACTACAGGTACCTGGCACAACACTGGCTAGTTTTTCTATTTTTTTTGTACAGACAGGGTCTCATTCTTGCTCAGGCTAGTCTTGAACTCTTGAGCTCAGGCTATCCACCTGCCTCGGCCTCCTAAAGTGTTAATATTATAGGCATGAGCCACTGTGCCTATAATGTTCTATATTTATTTAACTCCAGTAAATTGTATATATATAAACAAATATGTCACTTTCCTGCTTAAAATCCTTCAATGGCTTTCACAGCTCTTGGCTCATAGGACTCTGCATAAAGCCCCAGAGCCCTCACATTCCACGCTCCTTCCTGAAATGCACTACGTTCTCTCTCATCTTCTGACCTACCCCTATGATGCCTCTGCCTCAGCAACTTCCCAATACCACTACTCTGCTGCCAGTCTTTTAGATAGTCAATTCCTGCTCATTCAACCTTCAGGTCTTAGCTCATAAACCTTTCTTTAAGCAAGCCTTTCCTGACAAAATAAGACTGATTAAATCTTCCATTTTTGCTCCTCTAAGACTGTGTACCAACTCCCCAGGGCCTGGCAAAAATACTCATTGAGGCACTCAATGAATGAATGTACTAGACTTAAGTCATCACTACATGGCAGAACTGTCTGTTTCCAGCCTCTCCACATTCCAATCTACCTGCTGCTAGAGTTTTCAGTGATTTGGTTTCCTCTAGTGTTATGGTACCTAAGACAGACAGACAGTCAACCCTCCAAATCCCTGGGTTCCATATCAGTGGATTCAACCACCTATAGATTGAAAATAAAAAGGATATGGCTC